TACATAGACGAGTTACTTGATGCATAAAAATAATAGTTTAAAATAGAGCTCATGGGCTGTTAAATGCCATCTTGAAAAAAATGTGTTTTTAGGAGGGTTTTAAAGTGAGATAGGGAGGAGCAAGATCTCAGGGGAAGAGGGAGGGAATTCCAAAGCTTGGGGGCAACAACAGAGAAGGCTCGGCCTCCCCTGGTTTTGAGGCGGGACGGTGGGACGGACAGGAGGTTGAGCGAGTTTGACCTGAGAGACCGAGAGGCTGTGGGGGGTTAAAAGATCAGTGATGTATTGTGGCGCAAGTGAGTTAAGTGATTTAAAAACAAATAATACAATTTTAAAATCAATTCTGTATTTAACAGGTGACCAGTGGAGTTGGGCGAGGATGGGTGTAATATGGTCTCTCTTTTTGGAACCGGTGAGCGTCTGGCAGCAGCATTTTGAATTAACTGTGACCTGTTGATGGAGGATTGTGGGAGGCCTGAATATAGTGCATTACAATAAGTCCAGTCTATTTGTTACAAAGGCGTGAATGATTGTTTCAAAGTTATTGAATGATAGGATTGGTTTTAATTTGGCAATTTGTCTGAGTTGAAAAAAGCTAGTTTTAACAACATTTGCGATCTGTTTGTCAAAGTTTAAAAGAGAGTCCATAAAAACACCAAGGTTCTTTGCTGAACCGTGCAAATTTGTGGCAAGAGGTCCAAGGTCAGATGTGAGGGTGTCAGTGTTTGGTCCAAATAGGATAACTTCAGTCTTATTTTCGTTTAGCTGAAGAAAGTTAAAGGACATCCAGTTTTTTTATTTCCGCAAGGCAGGTATGGAGGGTAACAAAGGATGAGACGTTTTTTGGGGAAACAGGAAGATAGAGCTGGGTGTCGTCAGCATAAAGGTGGTACTTAATCTGATGTTTTTCTAGGATTGAACCCAGGGGGAGCATGTATAAAGAAAATAAAAGAGGCGCTAAGATGGACCCTTGGGGCAGGCCGCACGTGACAGGAGCAGAAGCAGACACTCTCTCACCGACTTTGACTGCAAAGGATCTTCCTGACAGATATGATGAGAACCATTTTATGACTGAGCCCTGCAAGCCAACCGTATGCTGCAGCTGCAGGCGTTTTAGGAGGATCTGGTGGTCAACTGTGTCAAAGGCTGCACTTAAGTCCAATAAAATTAATACAACTGAGGATCCGGAATCAAGCGTGAGAAGGATGTCATTGTAGACCTTTACCAGAGCAGATTCAGTACTATGATGCTTGCGAAAACCAGACTGGAACTTGTCAAGGATATGTAGAGTGTTAACATGAGCTGAAACCTGATTAAGCACAATTTTTTCCAAAATTTTTGCCATGAATGGTAATTTGGATATGGGCCTGTAGTTTGATACATCTTCAGTGTCCAAATTTGCCTTTTTGATAAGCGGATGCACAATAGATTTTTTTAAGGAATGTAGGAACAGCACCACTACGTAGAGATGCATTTATGATGGCTAAGATGCTTGGGTGGGTACAGGGAAATACGTCTTTAAAGAGGGCTGCAGGTAAAATGTCCAGGTAGCAGCTCGTGGGTTTGAGGTGTGCAAGAGCCTCAGTTAGTTCAGGGAGAGACACTTGCCTGAATTCAGCGAGGTGGTGGGGAGCATGGGGCATGATTTGGGGGGGGTTGGGGGGACGAATAATCTGTGCTCTAATGTTGGTTATTTTATTCATAAAGAAGTCCTTGAACAGCTCACAGCAGTCCACTGAGGTGGTGAGGCAGGGATGTGAAGACTGAGGATGTAATAGGGAGTTTAGAGTTTGGAAAAGGATTTGAGGTTTATGAGCATTTGATTCGATGATGTTGGAAAAATATTCACTTTTCGCAGACTGTACCGCTTTCTGGTAGCACTTTAGTGACGATTTAAATATTTCATAAGATACGTGAAGCTTGTCCTTTTTCCATGTTCTTTCTGCTTTTCTACACATTTGTCTAAGTGTGCGAGTAGAGTCATTTAGCCACGGTGTTAATGTACTTTTAACTTTGGGTCTTCTGGGTTTTTTGGGGGCAACAGAGTCCAGAATTTCTGAGCATAGGGAGTTGAAATAGTTTGTTAGGTCTTCTGTGTTTTGCGCAGGCAATTGGGCCCTCAGGGGCCCCAAACTGCTGATGGGCAGTGAACAGTTCAGAGAAACGTGGCGCTGTGGACGAGTGGATCAATCGGGTAGAGCTATGAGGTAAGGGTTTAATTATGGGGCATGTTAGCAGGCATTCAAAAGTGATCATAAAGTGATCTGATACACCACAGTCAAAAATATCTAGATTTGAGATAGTGAAGCCTGAAAAATAAACAAGGTCCAAAATGTGTCCTTTTTCATGAGTGGTGGGTGTTTGTATAAGTTGGGTTAGGTTGAAACTTTCAGCCGTCATTACAAAGTCTTTTACTAAAGGTTTTGAGGGGCAGCAAATGTGAATATTAAAATCACCTAAAACAAGAAGTCTGTCACTACAAGAAGACATGAAGGACAATACGTCGGAAAATTCTTGAATAAAATCTTTATGAAATTTAGGAGGTCTGTAGATAAGTGCACATAGGATAGGCACTGTGAGTTGCAGTTTAAAAAGTTGCACTTCAAAAGATTTGTAGGGATCAATCAGTACTGGTTTGCATTTAAGACAGTCTTTAAAAACTGTAGCTAGGCCGCCTCCACGGCCGGAGGACCTTGGAGTATTTAAAAAACTACAGTACGATGGACAGAGATCATGGAAAGGGGAAAAATCATCTGGGCTAAGCCAAGTTTCAGTAAGGAATAGAAGATCCAAATTATGAGTAGTAAAGGTGTGGTTTAGAATATGGGCTTTGTTTTGCATGGATCTGCAGTTCAGGAGGGCGAAGCTGAGAGATTGATTTGGAATTGCCAATAATGGGCGACTATTTGTTTTAATCTCAATCAGGTTTTTTGGATTTATGCAGGGAATGTAATCTGGTTTGCTTTGATGCATGTTTTGGGATACTACTTCATGAGTGGTGTACTTATATTTCTGACTTCTAACAGTAATAATAGAGCTAATGGGGAAAACTGATTGTTTACTTGAGTTTTGCTGTGTGTGTGTGAGGGGTTGTTTAATTTGGTGCTGTTTTTGCAGCGACAGGGAGGTGGCGCTAATCTGAGACCAGCAGTGCGTTGAACAATCTGAAGAAGAGGCAGTTGGGCGGGGCGTGTAGGGGGTAAATAGTCACTCACGTGCGGGTACCATGGCGGACACGCTGATCAGGTTGTGGACAGCGTAAACCATGTAGTTTTTAAACAGACGGCTTCCGCGTCTATTTAGGTGCAGACCGTCTGCCCGGTAGTGTGAGGGGCGGTCCCAAAACAGATTGAAATTGTCAATGAAGTTGATGAGGTGTGATCTGCAGACAGAACTGAGCCAGGTGTTTAGTTGAAGGGTCCTATCGAGTCGCTCAGCACCGTGATTCTGGGTGGGAATGGGGCCGGAGATGAACACAGACATTCCTTGAGTAGTCCACGGTTTCAGAAGCCTGAAAAGATCCTCAAAATCCCTTTTAGTGCTTTCTAGTTTCCCAAGTGATATGTCATTTGTCCCCACATGAACTATAATCCTATAAATTGAAGAGGGCATGGACTGGAGCAGGTCAGGAAGTCTCCTCATAATCTGAGATACCGTGGCTCCCGGGAAACAATGCGTAATGGTGTTAAAATAGCGAACATGGCGAATAATTGAGTCACCGATAATAACTGTTTTGGGGGGAAACAGTGGCTGAGGCTGAAAATTTGTTGGTGGGTTTGTGAGCTGTGGATCATTGCCGTCGAAGGAGGGCTGACAGGAGACGGGGGCCTCGGGTTGAGGGGCCGGGCCAGGTACTGACCCATCGGCAGTGCACTCCTGCTCCAGAGGCGCATTCTCGGCCAGGACCACCGGCCGGACCGCAGCTTGTTGTAGCCGTGGCTCCCCCGGTGACCTCGGCGCCATCGGCTGTGCCACGGTTTGGGACCGTGATACCACCGAGGGCGGAGAGTGTGCGCGCAGCGAGGAGTGGAGCGGCAAGGCCGGGGCAGCAGCTTGAGAACCACTGGATCGTCTCAAGACAGCCTCTTTTAGGATTTTTCGTCTGGCTGACGATTTAGGACGCTGTATGGTTGATTTGTGGGAGTTTATGGACGGGGGAGCAGTAGCCTCGGGCCAGATAGCCTGAGGGGGGCTTGCGTCCCGTGAGACTGGGACCGTACTTTGGAGGGTCGGGAAATCGATTGAAGAGTCCAGATTGGGGAGTGCCTGAGCCGACGCGGGTAGAGCAGGTGAGTCCGATGCTAGTGCAGAGCAACGATTTGTAAGGGTCAATCGGGGGGGCATTTCAGATGTTCCTTTTCTGTGGTTCGTGTATAACGCGGAGTCATCTCGGGGCAACAGGGAATGCGGGGTTGAACAGGAGGGGTGCGTGGTAGCCTGTGGGTCCCACACCACTGTGTCCATGAGGGCGCTGTTGAGCGAGGCTATGCGCTTGTATTGTCCTGTGGCAATATCCATAAGTTTAGCAATTATGTCCTCCTTTTCCTTTAGTTCACTGGATAGTCGCTGGATCTGTTCTTCTAAATGCGTGATTTTATTGCCGCCGTTGTCCGGTTTCAGCGGGGATTGTCCTTTTCCCGGTGTCATGGCTGACAGTATTGTAGTCACTCTCTCTTGTCGTTCGAGCGCGTGGGGAAAGTGGAGCTATAGGCGTCCATAGGCATTGCCTCTTGTCAAATCTGTTCCCTTCTTCTTCCCTTGTTTTAATAGCTCAGACTTTCTTTTTCTGTTAATGAATCTCATGATCACAGCGGGTGTAGCATGAACGTTGTCTTTCCATTTAAGTACAGGGTGACCTGCCTCGATTGAGACTCTTGATATTTTGTTTTATAACCTTTAAATCCATTTTTTCAGGTCTTCACTCATAATTTCTTCAAATATTGGGAAAAAAAGGAGCAAAGATCTCATGGCAGCTTCAGTGAAGTCACAGACAACATTAGTTCATTTTTGGTCAGTTGTTTTTATTATACTGTGAGGAAATACACCAAAGTACTTCTGTTTATTTTCTGAACACAAGGGCTACTGTACTCTGTAATCACAGGCTGTGGTCATAGCTGATGTGCTGGCCGCCGCGTTCTGGAACAGGAAGTGAGCATGACATGAGTGCGACGTGATTAATTCGTGCCCAGGTCCCATTCACTTTCTATTAAAAAGCCATGGCCCGACTCTCTGCTGCTGTCAGGTTCATCATTCTGACCTTAAAATGCACACAGCAAAACAAGGACAAAACAACAACCGTCTCAACTCAACCAAGTGTCCCACATAAAAGCAGTTGGATTAAACCAGGGGTGGGCAAACTTTTTGGCTCGGGGGCCACATAGGGTCCTATAATTTGACTGAAGGACCGGACAGGAGACAGGACATGACGTGTTAAGAGCCCGGCTCCATTGCACTTGTATTTACGCTCATGTAGAACGTATTCTACACCACGCCCTGCAACTTTCAGGTGCGTAAGTTTCAGAATACATGAAAAGTGAATGAGGACTGCTCCTCTGCACACCACAGGTGAGCGTGAGTCCGGTGCACTTAGATCTCATTGAGAAACAAAGCCCACACCACGAGATTATGCACACAAACACTTACGCGTGCAGCAGAACCAGACTCTTAAGACATTCTATTCATTAAGATTTGTAACACAGCATCTATACATCTTTTGACATTGCTTTAAACCCACTTATCATGGTCCGAATGGTCTGTAAGAACACTTTCCCATAAAGCATTGCGGCCAACATAATACGCCACACCTCAATGTATATGTAGTGCGCCATCTACTGGGAAACGCTGGAAATGCAGGAAAAATAAAACATCAACAAGGTTTATTATTGCAATTTATTCAAGTTTGGCGGGCCGGATTAAAAGGTTTAAAGGGCCGCATACGGCCCCCAGGCCATAGTTTGCACACCCCTGGATTAAACAATAACACATGAACAAAAGAACAAAAAGTGTCAACCCTGAACTAAAGATAAAATATCAGATCATTGCAATACATATTACACAATATATTCTGCAGGTTTATCTGAATAACCTGCACTGTCAATATAATCTTAAACTTTTGTTTTACTGAAGGTCAAGAAAATCGTCTCCAAAGTGGATGATGTGGTTTAGTGCTTCCAGAAGCAGTGCGTCGATGTCATCTTGTCTGTTGTAGGTGTTGTCACTGTAGTTCTGCACTGGATACATGAAGTTCACAGGGATCCCCACAGACGCACTGAACTCCTGCATCTGAAAAACACATTTCAGAATATTTTGTGGAGAAAACATGATTTCAGTAGATATTTGCCTGTGTTGACCAACAGGATGGTCTCTGTGCACAGTGGCTCCTGGAAAAACTCTCCTCCTCACAAATCTAACCCATCACTAGACCTGGTGTGAGGCCACCATCCAAACCCCACAGGGAGGTCACTGCTTTACGGGAATGTTTCAGTGTCATAAACTGAGTTTCCTTCTGGAAAAAGAAAAAAGTTTAGCTTTAACTTTCGATCTCCATGGTGATAGAAGTGGTGTCTCCCATAAACATTCATAGACATGAAATTCTCCACTCGATCACTTGACCATGTGTTATGTCCATCTGAACAAAGCCAGTTCCCAGAGAAAGTGAATTAAATGATTATTTCATGATGTTTTTGTCCTGTGTCTGATCTTCTCAGTCCCATGGAAAAGAGGATCTTTAGTGTCTCTAAAACCAAGTTCAGAGGATTAGTCAAGAGGATTAGTTTTTAACTCACTAAAACCAAAAGTACCCTTGTGCCTTGTTAATGGAAATTTGTGTATCTGAAGATACATTTATCATGACAACTTTTGCTGTGGTTGTTTCATTGCCATGAAAATTCAAAAGGACGTGTGTTTTTACAGCATTTTAGACTTATGGTTCCGATTAGACCAGTTTTGGCGACGTGAGAAGTTTTGTAGACACTCAGTGTGTTTGGGAAATTTGTGTTTCCATTAACTTCCATTATAAACTCATTTTTTACCCCTACTCTAAAAATCAAGGTGAGTAAACCCAATATTTAAAAAAAAATATTAAATGTTTTTTCAAAACTGACCAAATTTTAGCTCCTCCCCCTCACTTCTACTGTGACCCTATATGAAAAATAGCCACTTCTGAACAATTGCTTCCGAGAAACCAGGGGAGATTTTTTTTTTGTATCAAAATTTCATGTGTTGGTAGTGAGTAGAGCCCGACCGATATTGATTTTGTTGTGGCCGATATGATACCGATATAATGGGAGTTAGAGCTGCCGATAGCCGATATAATCGCCGATATATTTAGTGATGTAAAAATTCACTGTAAGTCTTGAATTATTTAAAAAAAACTTAGGTTTGGCTCTAGTGGATTTTAAACTGTGTTTCTGTAGGCAACATTTATTGTTATTTTGCCTTTTTACGTGATATGTCATAGGACTAAAGCAGGTCTAAGGCAGGTCTAAACCAGAACTGAACCAAGATTGAAAAAGGACTAAACCAGGACTAAAACAGATCTAAACAAGTCACAAGGAAATCAGGAAGAGTCACATTTCTTTTAATTTATGAAGTTACAGTAAATCCTACTATAACAATAATAGAGATGTGGATTTAAGGGCTCATGGAAAATATCAGAATTTAGTGAAACAAATCTAAATTTCTTACATTTTACATAATTGCATGTAGTTTTCAACAGGAAAACATAAAATAAAAGGCAAAAACATTATTAGGCTTTTAATAAAAAGGGGATGTCAAAATGGGCATTTTATAATAGAAGTCTATGGAGCACAATGCAGCAAACCGACTTTATGCAAGAACAACAAATCCAAGTCAATCTTTTCACTAATAATCCACATTTGTAGGCCAGTTACATTGATAATAGCCAGAGGGGAATTAAATATATTATTATTATTATTATTATTGAATTATTGGACATAATTAAAATTTGCTGTAAGTGGTATTGGGCACAAACCGTTGGGTTAATTATTTATGGTAATATATGAAATCAATATATCAATGGAAAGAAAACCCCTTCAGATTAAAAAAATAAATAAAAATTAAGATCTTTGCAAAATATTAATGTTTAACAATTTTATGGCAGTTTAAAAACTGAAATACATCAGTTGTACGAAACACTCCCAGTGTACACACATTTTCAACAAGGCACAAGGGTTAAACATCAGTTCTGGCCTCTTCCATGGAGCTCAACAGTCTGTCCCACTTTGAAATCCACTCTGGTTCAGGATGTACATTTTCTGGTCTTTTTTCTCATAGATATTTTGAAAAATTCTACTTAGAGTTCAAAGACACTGCAAAGACTAAACAGCTACAACTACTATCTATAAACACTTGTTTTAAACCCAATAAACACAGTTAAAATCCAAGATTTAGCAGAATGTTTCAATAAGTTAGCAGCTTCAGAAACAGATTTTACATTAAATGACAGGTCTTGTGGTGGGCAAAAACTGAACAACTCACAGCTAGACTTACCCTCCTGTGAAGTAATGTGCTTTTATAGACATTTCTGACATTTTTCTCAATTTCTTCTTCAATCTTGTCTATGTTTGTAATGACAGCAACATGTGGAATCCCTAAAAAACAGAAAGTTTACAGTTACACAGGGTCTAAATGTAAAAGAGAATATAAACCTACAGATGCTCAACACTTTTAGTTTAGTTAGTAGTAGTCTTTAAGATAAACATTACACTGTTCAACAAAACAATCTCTAAATAAAATTAAATTGAATCTGTCTGTTTTTCAATGTGTACTTTGTTTATTTGGGAATACAATAATGTTGTATTTAATCTTCTATATAAATCCAGTGGTTTCAGAAACATGAAATATTAGAGCCGTTGCTTTGTGCTATTTGTACCCGCAGGTAAAGAGAGTGCGGGTCTCACCTATAGTCACTGATTCTCATTATAAACAAATAAATAAATGTAAAAAATGTAAAACAAAATACTCTTTTGAACAGTGAAAAGAACTCAAAATGTTTACCTTGCCAACTAGAACCACACACTTTGAAAAAAGTTAACAAAGACAAGTTGATCTGGAGTAGTGGCAGCAAGAAAGCCACACTCCCTAACTTGAACTAGATTTAAAAAAAAAGTGTTATTGTTTATTTTATTAAAAGTTATATAACATATATTTCTGATCTCTGTTCTAATGTATTTTCCTCATCACAAACAGACCTGGACTTGTGTTTTGTTTCATTCACACATATTTAACACACAAACCCTGCAGATTTAGGTTGAGCTCTTCTCTCAAACTGAAAACATTCTCTTCCACCTTGTGATGTCATGTGGTAATACAAGTGCTCCACTGTGTTTTTAAACTCCACACAGCTTCACTTGAATCATTTGGACCATTTCAGCCCTGGAATTGCCAATCTGAACTAAAAGTAAAAAGAGCTGTTCACTTGAAAACTGCTGCTGCGTGACATCATAAGTTGGAAAAGAGCATTTTGATCGAGGTCTATGTGAAATGAGGTATGTAGAAAAAAAAGGTCTATGCAAAAAAACAACTGAATTACAGCGGTCCAGTGTCTTTCTGGATGGTGTGGAACTCACCCTTGTCAAAGAGTTTAAATACCCGATATTGACATTTAAGAAACACATTAAGTGTCTTACAAAAACTGTTCATTTTAACTTAGTGAATTTTAGACAAGTAAGATCCTTTTTGACTCTATATGTGACACGAATGTTTTTACACTCCATGATTCTGTCTCATATTGGATTGAGAAGGAGAGGATTGCAGAACCACACGGTCACTCACTGCTGGCACAACACTCGAATCCATCAAATCACTTTTTAAAAAAGCTGTACCACTGCACTGTTTTAGACAAGGAGAACTTGCTTAATTTTAATCATGTTAATAAAAAAAAAAAAATATATATATATATATATATTAAAAAAAATGTGTTTTCACCTTCCACGGTGGTTGGTCTCTCACCCTCATTCAGCTCGGGTCGTCTACCAGAGGCCTGGGAGCTTGAGAGTTCTGTGCAGTATCTTTGCTGTTCCCAGTCCTGCACTTTTCTGGACTGAGATGTTCATTGTTTTTCCCGGTATCTGTTGTAGCCACTCTTCCAGTTTGGGGGTTACAGCCCCGAGTGCTATATATATATATATATATATATATATATATATACCCTCCCTCCCTGAACCGTCACCTTATCGTGGTGTGGAGGGTTTGAGTGCCCGAGTGATCCCGGGTGCTATGCTGTCGGGGGCTTCATGCCCCTGGTAGCGTCACCCAAGGCAAACAGGTCTGGGGGGACGGGTCAGACGAAGAACGGTTCAGAAGCCACATATGATGATGTCCATTCAGAGGCAACGTCGCCCAGATCTGCGTTACCGAGGCCCCACCCTGGAGCCAGGTTTGGGGTGGGTGCTCACCAGCGAGCGCCTGGTAACTGGGGGTTCCCCTCAGCCCGAAGGGGCCACGTGGGACCGTCCTCACGTGGGCCCACCACCCGTGGGCGGATCCATATGGGGCCGGTGCAGAGAGATCTGGGCAGCAATTGGCCGCGGGGAGCGGCGGGCTGGTGTGGGCTCATTGCCCCACAGCTCAGCCGCTGTGTGTTGGAGTTCACCCCGGTAAACGAGAGGGTCGTGTCCCTGCGCCTTCAGGTCGGGGACAGGTCTCTCACTGTGGTGTCGGCCTACAGGCCGAACAGCAGTGCAGAGTACTTGGCCTTGTTGGAGTCCCTGGGAGGGGTACTAGACAGTGCACCAATCAGAGACTCCGTTGTTCTCCTGGGGGACTTCAACGCCCACGTGAGCAACAACAGTGACACTTGGAGAGGGGTGATTGGGAGGAACGGCCTCCCTGATCTGAACCCGAGCGGTGTTTTGTTATTGGACTTCTTTCCTAATCACAGTTTGTCCATAACGAACACCATGTTCGAGCACAAGGGTGTCCATAAGTGCACGTGGCATCAGGACGCTCTAGGCCAGAGGTCGATGATCGACTTTGTAGTCGTGTCATCTGATCTCCGGCCGCGTGTCTTGGACACTCGGGTGAAGAGAGGGGCTGAGCTGTCAACTGATCACCACCTGGTTGTGAGTTGGGTTCGCTGGTGGAGGAGGAAGCCAGAAAGACCTGGCAGGCCCAAGCGTGTAGTGAGGATCTGTTGGGAACGTCTGGCGGAGCCTCAGTCAGAGGGACCTTCAACTCGCACCTCCAGGAGGACTTCTCCCAGATTCCAGGGGAGGCTGGGGACATGGAGTCCGAGTGGGCTTCATTCTCTGCCTCTATTATCAATGCGGCTGCTCGTAGCTGTGGGCATAAGGTCTGTGATGTCTGTCGCGGTGGCAATCCCCGAACCCGATGGTGGACACTGGAAGTAAGTGATGCCGTCAGGCTGAAGAAGGAGTCCTATCGGGCCTTGTTGGCTCATAGGACTCCTGAGGCAGCTGATGGGTCCCGGCGGGCCAAGCGTGCTGCAGCCCGTGTCGTCACGGACGGCCTCAAAGAGATTCTGGCAAACCGTCTGGCGCCTCAGGAGGGGGAAGCAGTTCTTCACCAACACTGTTTATAGTGCGGGGGGAGAACTCTTGACCTCGACTGGGGACGTTGTCCGGCGATGTAAGGAAGGAGGACTTGGAGGCGAACTCATCCATCACCGTGGCTGAAGTCACTGTGGTGGTTGGCAAGCTATATATATATATATATACATATGCTGGTTGACAAAACGAATATCCCCAATATTCCCCATATATTTACTTCTGGGTTGGCTAAATGCTAGTTCTGGTTATAAGGTTGAGTGGAGTTTGGAAGAAAAGTTAAACTTTTCCATCTTTGGCATTTGACACCTGAGGTGTGACCCCCTCCAACCAGTTGTGGCAAAAGTTTTAAATGTGCTGTAGAAGTGCCCTAGACATGCGTCTAGTAATAATATAATGGATCAGATTTATTTAGCACTTCCTTGGACACTCAAAGATGCTTTACACAACATTATTCTTTCACTCCACGGTGTAAACTACTATTGTAGCCACAGCTGCCCTGGGGCAGACTGACAGAAGCGAGACTGCCAATCTGCGCCATTGGCCCCTTTGACCACCACCATCACTCACACACATAGCACTGTCATACTAGGCAATGAGAGTGAAGTGTCTTGCCTAAGGAGACAACAACTGTTTTTTTTTGCTCTGTCACCTCCTGTGGCTCCTGATTTTCCCAGTGTCTCCATCCAAGCACTAACCAGACACGACCCTGCTGAGCCTCTGAGAAAGGCCACATACATAGGCCCTGAATGTAAAACAGATGCCTGTGACCTACACATTTGTCCAGTTTAAACGCAGCATTTAGAGAATCACCACTTCTCTCCCTCCAGAGCAGAATATCCAACACTAACCAAACAATAAAACATGCTTTGTTAAAGTTTGTATGTCCTCACCAAGATCTCTGGCACATATTCTTACACGTTGTATTTTCTCAGTGATGTCTGGATGGAGGCCTGCAGAGTTGGCAGAGAGGACACAAACCAGAACATGGACTCTGTCATTTAGAGAAGCGTTTCCATTCTCGTTCTCATTTTCTGCGGGAGGATTCTCATCCTCAAACTGTAAATGAGTGAGTGTTAGTACATTACAGTATAAATGAACAAAATAAGACCCTGTTGTTTTATCATTCTGAAGTACTCACCTTATACCTGTCTGGCATGCGTCCTGTCATCGCTGTTCTAAGTCTTTCTGGCAGAAACGCTGTATTCCGCCCAGCCTCTAGTCCCATGGTGTCGTTGATAACAAACTCACAGAACTCCTTTGGTTGGTCTTTTTTTTTTATCCTGTAAGTTATGTACTGAAACAGACACAGAAATGCAGCAGATGACAATGGCTCTCAAACCATTTACATCAAGTACCACCAAAGAAAAGATTTAACTGATTGTTTTTTAATTCAGTAACAATGGAAGAATAAAAATAATTAAAGCTGCAAGTGGCATAGAATGGCCCTTGCAGACTACACCACAAACTCCACCAACCCGGCGCTCCCTCGGGACAGCACTAACACTTCACTTGTCTCTGTGTTATTGTGGTTTTGGGCTGTACTTGTCACTACACAGAAAAGATCATCACACATCAGGAACATTAACATGCCTCATCAGCATGGCAACACTGTACAAAATACAACTGTGTCCATCCACACTTTTTTGACTGGAATGACCTGAAGAGTCACTGCACAAAATTTCACATTCATCTATGAGTGCGTTTACATGCACATCAATAACCCGGTTATGATCGGGTTTTTTTGAGTATCCCGGTTTCTTGTTATGGTGCGGTTATGTAAGTTACGCAGTTAACGCGGTAGGTTACTGCAACATAAAGTTGAGTCACATGTGTCCAAAAGACACTTTCCAGCCTTTCACCACAACAGTAGTCACATAAATAAATTGACCAAACGAGTGAAATGACTGTAAAATAAAGAGCTGAAACCTGCACTATGTAAAATACATGTACGACCTGCACATGTACGACCTGCACATGTACGAACCTCGCGACCTGCACTCGTACGACCTGCACTCGTACGAGTGTACGACCTGCACTCGTACGACCTGCACTCGTGTGACGCTGAAAAGCTAAAACATGAACTATCTCCTGTACACTATACGCACGGAACACACTTACCATCATTAGCGCCTCTTCTGTCACAGAAATAACCACATAATCCACAGAGTCGTGTCATTTAGTCCAAAAGAAGCTGGTCACCATCAGCGGCACAAGGAGCGAGTTGTTTTTATCGCCGCTAACAGTTTATGCTAATTAGCCAAACGGTCTTAAGTTTCGTTTCTGTAAAACGTAAACAAATGTGATCAGAGCTGAATGATCTGATCAAACGGGCTGATGTGTCTATAGTGTTTATGGTTTATATGTTGTAAAGTTGAGTTTATTTATTCTGTGCAGTGGATTGTGGGAGATCTCGTAGCTCCTTAGCTTCTTATGCTAAAGGAGCTCACGGTTTGTATTTTTCCTGATTTATTAAATTGATTTAAGTTAATTTTTGCACCTGCGCATTTGTAAGATTATGTCAAGAAACCGGGACACTCCATTTGATCATGTACACGTGGATATGAGTGTCCCGGTTTCTCAGTGAACATGTAAACACAGTAACACGAACACTGACAGAACCAGGACATGACTAATAACCGGGATACTGATGTGGATGTATACGCACTCAATGTGCTAATCAGATCTTTTATCATTTGAGATTTGGGAAATTTTCCCATTAAGATAATATGGACAATTTAGCGCATTGACACGGCCACACAATGCAAAATACAATATGTTTCTATTCACTTTTTTGATCGAGATGACATGAAGAGTCATTGTACCAAATTATTCCATGATAAATATTCAACATGGTTTCCAGTTGACCTTTTAGATTGTGATTATGTGTAAAATTGTGTACAAATTTGTACACACTGTAGTGCAGATTCTGTAGTTTGACTTTCTTCTCACACCTATTTTGTGAAAGAGTGGGTTTTGGATGAAGTGGTTACAAAAACTGTGGGTGTCACAGTTAGTAGGGATTCTTCTGTATTTAACCAAATGCACCCACAAGCATCAGTTATGGCACCAAAACTGAGATGTCATCTGTATCCAACCACATCAACGCAACGCATCACTGTAAATAAATGAATTCATGATATAGTAGGATAGTAGTCTTTTTTTAGGGTCGCCCCACTCATTCTCATGAGTTTGTGAACTCACAAATATGACAAGAATTTGTCAAGAATAAGTAGGATGCTTGTGCCAAATTTTTATTGCCCATGACAAAAAAAATGTTGTGGTCTCATTCAGATCTTCATCTGAATTTAAAAATAATCTTTAATTGCACATGGGTCTAGGATATTTTGACCAATTTCAATAAATGAGGGGTACTATTTTAAAAAAAAAAAAAACATCTTCCTCCCAATATGGCCAACTTCCTGTTGGGTTTAGGATGGGGTCATTTTATCTATATATATCTATATCTATATCTATATCTATCTATCTATATATCTATATATATATATAATATATAAAAAATGTGTGTTTCTCACCTTCCACGGTGGTTGGTCTCTCACCTCATTGAGCTCGGGTCCTCTACCAGAGGCCTGGGAGCTTGAGAGTTCTGCGCAGTATCTTTGCTGTTCCCAGTACTGCGCTTTTCTGGACTGAGATGTCCGTTGTTTTCCCGGTATCTGTTGTAGCCACTCTTCCAGTTTGGGGGTTACAGCCCGAGTGTCCGATCACCACAGGCACCACTGATGCCTTTACTTTCCAGGCTCTCTCCAGCTCTTCCTTGAGCCCCTGGTATTTCTCTAGCTTCTCGTGTTCCTTTTTCCTGATATTACCATCGCTTGGTATTGCGATGTCAACCACCACGGCTCTGCTCTGTTTCTTATCCACCACCACTATGTCTGGTTGGTCCATCACCATCCTGTCAGTCTGTATCTGGAAGTCCCACAGGATCTTGGCTCGGTCATTCTCCACAACCTTTGGAGGTGTTTCCCACCTTGATCCTGGGGTTTCCAGCCCGTACTCTGCACAGATGTTTCTGTACACTATGCCCGCCACTTGGTTATGTCGCTCCATGTATGCTTTCCCTGCCAGCATCTTACACCCCGCAGTTATGTGCTGGACTGTCTCAGGAGCCTCTTTGCACAGTCTACACCGTGGGTCTTGTCTGGTAGATCTGGGCCTCTATTGCTCGAGTGCCCAGGGCCTGCTCCTGAGCAGCCAGGATCAGTGCCTCTGTGCTGTCCTTCAGACCAGCCCTCTCGAGCCATTGGTAGGATTTCTTGATATCAGCCACTTCAGTTATGTTCCGGTGGTACGCCCCATGTAGGGGTTTGTCCTGCCATGATGGTCCCTCCAGCACCTCTTCCTCTGGACCCCACTGTCTGAGACATTCTCTGAGCACCTCATCTGCTGGGGCCTTGTCCTTGATGTACTCAAGGAGCTTGGATGTTTCATCCTGGACAGTGGTTCCCACACTCACTAGTCCTCGGCCCCCTTCCTTCCGGCCTGCGTACAGTCTCAGGGTGCTGGATTTGGGATGGAACCCTCCATGCATGGTCAGGAGCTTTCGTGTCTTAACATCTGTGGTCTGTATCTCCTCCTTTGGCCACCTTACAATCCCTGCAGGGTATCTGATCACTGGCAGGGCGTAGCTGTTTGATTTGCCTGCACCTTGTTCTTGCCATTGAGCTGGCTTCTAAGGACTTGCCTCACTCTTTGCAGGTATTTGGCCGTAGCCGCTTTCCTTGTTGCCTCTTCGAGGTTGCCATTTGCTTGTGGGATACCAAGGTACTTGTAACTGTCCTCAACGTCTGCTATTGTTCCCTCTGGGAGTGACACCCCCTCTGTGTGGACTACCTTCCCTCTCTTTGTCACCATCCTGCTACATTTCTCAAGCCCGAATGACATCCAATGTCTGTGCTGTAGATCCTTGTGGTGTGGATCAGTGAGTCGATGTCTCGCTCACTCTTAGCGTACAGCTTGATGTCATCCATGTAGAGGAGGTGACTGATGGTGGCCCCGTTTCTGAGTCGGTATCCATAGCCAGTGCGGTCGATTATTTGGCTGAGAGAGGGTTCAGGCCTATGCAGAACAGTAGTGGGGACAGTGAGTCCCCACTTATAATATATATATATATATATATATATATATATATATTATATATATATATAATATATTATATATATATATATATATATACACATTAAAAAAAATAAATTTGTTTTCTCACCTTCCACGGTGGTTGGTCTCTCACCCTCATTCAGCTCGGGTCGTCTACCAGAGGCCTGGGAGCTTGACAGTTCTGCGCAGTATCTTTGCTGTTCCCAGTACTGCACTTTTCTGGACTGAGATGTCCATTGTTTTTCCCGGTATCTGTTGTAGCCACTCTTCCAGTTTGGGGGTTACAGCCCCGAGTGTCCGATCACCACAGGCACCACTGATGTCTTTACTTTCCAGGCTCTCTCCAGCTCTTCCTTGAGCCCCTGGTATTTCTCTAGCTTCTCGTGTTCCTTTTTCCTGATATTACTTGATGATCACTTGGTATTGCGATGTCAACCACCACGGCTCTGCTCTGTTTCTTATCCACCACCACTATGTCTGGTTGGTCCATCACCATTCTGTCAGTCTGTATCTGAAGTCCCACAGGATCTTGGCTCGGTCATTCTCCACAACCTTTGGAGGTGTTTCCCACCTTGATCCTGGGTTTCCAGCCCGTACTCTGCACAGATGTTTCTGTACACTATGCCCGCCACTTAGTTATGTCGCTCCATGTATGCTTTCCCTGCCACCATCTTACACCCTGCAGTTATGTGCTGGACTGTCTCAGGAGCCTCTTTGCACAGTCTACACCGTGGGTCTTGTCTGGTGTGGTAGATCTGGGCCTCTATTGCTCGAGTGCCCAGGGCCTGCTCCTGAGCAGCCAGGATCAGTGCCTCTGTGCTGTCCTTCAGACCAGCCCCTCTCGAGCCATTGGTAGGATTTCTTGATATCAGCCACTTCAGTTATGTTCCGGTGGTACGCCCCATGTAGGGGTTTGTCCTGCCATGATGGTCCCTCCAGCACCTCTTCCTCTGGACCCCACTGTCTGAGACATTCTCTGAGCACCTCATCTGCCGGGGCCTTGTCCTTGATGTACTCAAGGAGCTTGGATGTTTCATCCTGGACAGTGGTTCCCACACTCACTAGTCCTCGGCCTCCTTCCTTCCGGCCTGCGTACAGTCTCAGGGTGCTGGATTTGGGATGGAACCCTCCATGCAGGTCAGGAGCTTTCGTGTCTTAACATCTGTGGTCTGTACAGAC